ATTTATCAAGGCACCCCAAAAATAAAAAACCGAAAAAGTGAAACCGAAAACCCCAACCATCGAAAGTCGGCGACAAACAAAATCAAATAAAAATCCCGACTAATTTATTAGAGCTCCAAAATACGGCACGGGGGGTTGCTAGGATGGGGGGGGAGGGGGGATACTACCCGTGGTATTTATGTGGGCTTTTGTGGCACTTTGTCATGCGGCACTTGCCCCACGATTTCCGGGAGCGCTCTCTCCGGCTCCGGGATCTCCTCCTTGGCCACATTTCAATTTCTGTGCAAATATTTACACAATCTGGCGATAAATTTATGCGCTCTTCTTCACATTTTCAATTTGTGGAAGGCACCTCCGGCTCCCAGACTCCAACTTCGCCTCAGAATTTATGCAAAATCCCACAAAACCGATCAAGGAGCCACGGCAGAGAGAAACGGTGATTGTTATTGGCCTAGAGAACGGATCCACGGATCTGTGGCGTGTGGGCGGACGAAATCGAATTCAAATTCGATGATCCACCGATCGGTGATCGTCGATCGGGGATCGGGAGGTGGGAGTACGAAATGGAGTCAAGTCGCGGGTCTAGGGCCCTCGGATTCTTATCGCCAGGCTCTTAGCTAAAGGCCCGGCCAGATGCGATCACTCTGTGGCAGCCACTTGGTGTGTGGCCCCTCGCCAGTTGGCTGTGATCCACTTGTGGCATGGCTGCTGCATCGCCACCGACTTTGGGGCGACTTGGGGGGAAAGTTTCCCACCGTTTTGCAGCGAGCTTTCGATTCGCCTTTTTCCAGCGGAAGTGGCGACTGTTTTCAGTGAAACTTTGGTACGGAATAGCCACATCTTTTCCCTGGACAAAGCATCTTTTGGCTGCCACAAAGTGTGACCAAATCCCCTGTCTCGGCCGCTACTGTCCCGTGGCATCTCAGTGCCAATTAGAATGTTTTATTGCCAGTCGGGGGGACAGTTTTCTGTGGCCTGACTTCCTGTCGCTCTTGATTTCATTCGAGGTCCACCGCGTGGGCGACTCGTTAGGCCTTCGCATCAGTGGAGCGTGCATCCAACTTAATTAGTTGGAGGGCGAGGAGGGGGAGTAGGAACTGCAGTTTAATGAGGAAGCGAGTCGCCGAGCCATTGATTAGCGCCCGAGATTGCCTTCAACGAAGGGAAACAGGAACTCAGAAACCGAGATTCAGATTCAGATTTCGATTCCGATTCCGATTCCAAGACGCTGGAGTTCATGAACTCTTGTGGCAGGGGCACATTCCAGCCAACAACTTTCTGTGTCTTATGCAACGATCCATCATCGTAGCTCCATCGAGAGTCCGTTGCAGGCTGTGCAGGGGCCTGTGATGGCGGGTGGTGCTGCAGCTGCAACAGAAACACAAGAAACGCATTCGCATTCGTCCAGGGAGAGGGGGGAGAGAGAGGGAGGACACCCGTCCCCCTGTTGGCCGCCTTTTTTCGTGGTTTGTTCGCATGTTTTCGGCGCAGTCGCAGGCCCAAGTCCATGGCCATCGGCCATCGGCCAAATGTAAATCTCTCCCCAGCCCCAACCCCTACACCCCTCCCTCTCTCCCCCCCTGCTCACGCATTGGTATGTTTTTTCTCTGTTTTTTGTTTGATTTATCAATAGATGGCCATGGACCTCATGTCCCTCAGTTTTCGCGCGCGCGGCGAAAGCAAAAGTCCACGATCCCCGCGAATCCGAGTTGAGGGAAAGGCGTGCGAGCGATTGCCTCAAAAGTTGAACCGTAAACGTAAACGTAACCGTAAGCGAGGGGGGCGGGGAGGAAGGCAGGTAATGGGCATTGGCTAAGAAGACAGCTGCAAAAAAGCCGCCACAAGTGGCAGGCCGAAAGGCAGTGCCACAGAGCCGAAGAGCCGCAGAGCCACAGACGAAGCGGAGAAGCAAACATAAATCAAATGAAGGAAAATGTACAAGATAAATTTTTAAGCACACTTATTTAACACCTAACAACCTTGTTAGATGCATTTTGATGATGCAGTCGGAGTCCGAGGCACCAGTCCCAGTCCCAGGCTCCAGACTCCAGCCTCCAAGTGGGGCTGTGGCTGTGGCTGTGGCAGAAAGAACTCTGAAGAGAGCACTGAAGAGACCCGAACAAGTCAGAAATCTATACCGGAAAATTAAAAATTCTTAATAACACGACAAGCGGCACAGCGGTCGGTGGTGCCTGTTGCATGGTCGGTGCCCGGTCGGTGGGTCGGTTGCGGCGTGCAACAACTGTTAGAATTGCTTTTTGGTGTAACAGCAACAGCAGGCCCAAGAAAACCAAACAGAAATAGATCTTTCCGCCAGCGTTCACCTCTTTTAAGACCCCTGTCTCTGTCTCTGTCTCTGCCTTGTGGCAGGCTTTGGGCCTCAAATTTTGCACAGACTTCGAGAATTCTACCAACTATCCTACGGATGGCTCCAAATCGTTTCCAGAGGTGGCTGATTCTTCGTACTTCCCAAAAACCAATTGGAAAACCCCTAAATAGTGCCATTTTTCCCCATTTTCCACCTATTCCCAGCTTCCAATCGTGGCTGAATCTTCATTCAAGCAGAGTATTGTCCAGCGACTCGTTTCTCCACCTTTCTCTGTGGCCCCCCGTCTCCTCTGTCTCCCCGCTGATCTACTCCTATGGCTTATAAATCTTGTGTGCTCTGTAAAATAATTTATAAAAATTGCAATAAATATTGAGGGGCCCTGATAAGGCGTCAACATAAATCAGGTGTTCCTCCGAGGAGGAGGAGGATGAGGAGGAGGCAGCAGAACCCCGTGACTAATCAACGCCGCAAAAGTGTGAAATCTTCACACGCCGCAATGCCACAGAGTGCCCCCCCCCCTACCCCCTTCCCCATTCCGTAACCCCAAGGGAATGCCAGAGCGTAAATGTCTTTATAACTAATTCGATACTCAATGAAAGGGAGGGAGGGGACGGAGGGAGGGGGGAGTGCAGACCGCAACAATTTCACGCTTTCTGCACCGTGCCACAGAGACGCCCCCACATGTATGTACATGCAACACTTTCTTTCGTTTCGGCCCCAATCTGGCATTGAATGTGGGATTGATGGGGGATTGAGTCCGAAATCGAGTAAGCCTCAGCGTCTCTGGCGGCACGTAGCCACGTAGCCGCTTCTCATAGCCCTGGCCAGAGCCAGGTCTAAATCATCCACATCTGCCGGAAATTGCATAAAAATACACTGCACGGCCGCTCGTTGGGCCTCTCCTCTCGTCTTATCAGAGTGTTTGCTGCGGTCTCTCATTCTCTCGCTTGGCCGATAATCCCTGGCAGCAGAGACACGACCAACATTTTGGCCAGCTTCTATTAGCCAGGCAGCACCCCTCTCTCCCTCCCCTCCCCTCCCCTTCCCTGCCCTGCTCTGCTCCTCTGCACAAGTGTTAATCAAACTTTAACCACAAACATCCGCATGGCCATGGCCATGGCTGCTGCATGGAACGTTCTCTCTCTCTCTCGTTGTGGCAATCATCTTCCTCATCCTCTTTGGCATTGTCTGCACTCCACGCCACTCCCTGGGCATTTTTTTGGGTTTATTTTCTGTACGTTAAATAAGGTAATTGAATGAAATTACTTTTGACAGCTTATTTGCATACATCAACAGGCGAAGAGGCAGCACAGAAGTATCCCCAGACGCGGGAGATGGTAGCTTGTTAGCCCCCATAATTGGTCATTGAATGCTCTGGCGACCCCGCCGCAGAGAGTGTGAGAAATGCGTGCTGACAAAGATGAATAACTCGAGAGATGGCCGTGGCCCTGGCTGTGGCCGTGGAGACTTCTTCAACGAACTTCGAATTGTTTTTCGGGCTCCCTTTTGGAAGATGTCACTGGGGTTTTTTTTTGCCCCGATTTGATTTGCCTTTCACTGGCAGCCACGACAGGCCCCAAGACTCCTCCTTCCCCCCCTTTTGGGCCCCTTTCGTGTGGGCGTGCATTCGTTTAGGCCCTGCTTTGCGCTCTTTACAGAACTTCCATGTTGTTGACAGATAAAATTGCCAATCTGTTTGGCTGACGACATCCTCAGGGCTCCAGTCCAGGGCTCCAGCCTGGCGACAATTTCACTCGCGGGTTAAACGGGTTTAAACTTCTGGCTGGCTGGCTGGCTGGCTGGCTGGCAGCCGGCTCTAAGCTTAATGAAAGTCTTTAGTCGCAGGAGCCCGCAACAATCTAAGCAGATCTCCAGACAGCCCCGGTTGGCCGTTCGGTCCTGCCTTTTGGCTTACAAAAAGTGTAATTAGCGCTGGAAATGCAACGTGCAACGTGCCACAGAGAGAGTCCAAGGGGGTAGCCGGGGTACACGTTTCGCTTTAAAGGCATATCAGTGTGTGTCCCCCCAGACCCCCCTCGAACCCAAGCGAAGGGAACGCTTTGAGGCAATCACTCGGTTGCACCACCCCCCCCTCATCAGCACCCCTCCTCCTCCTCTTGTTCTCCTATTTAAAGTGAAATAATGACAGTTTTAATTGCTGATTTGCTGTTTGGTTGTTCGTTGGCGTCAAAATCCAACGATGGCCCCCGCTCTAGGGGGCTCCCCCTCACTGTCTCTCCCACCCCTCGAAGACAGCCTACAGAATGCAAAACGCCAACTAATTGGCAGCCATTAAAAGGGGTCAATGCTCCCGGCCCGTTTAAGCCCAATCTGTGATTCATTCCAGTAGCGGGAGACGCCTCGGGAGAGGGGAGGGGGGAGAGGGGAGAGGGGACCCAAACTTAAGTTGACACATCGCCCGATACGCCCGATGATCCGGCCGGAGGGGGCCACGGATTCCGAGCATGAAAAATTGCCAAATTAAGCCCCGAAAAAGAGGAGCCCAAAACCCAGAAGCGGAGGCGCTGGCTGTAAATCAAATTAAGATTTCTGACAACTTCATTTGTAAAAGGGAGAGCGAGGGAGAGCCGGAGAGGCTCCTCCTCCTTCAAGTACCTTTTGGAGCCCTTTTCCTAATCAATATCCACCTCTTTCCTCCCCTTTTCTGCAGGTCTCTGCCAGCGATCCGGACTGCGGCGTGAATGCCATGGTAAACTACACTCTGGGCGAGGGCTTCAAGCACTTGACGGAGTTCGAGGTGCGCTCCGCCTCCGGGGAGATCTGCATTGCCGGAGAGCTGGACTTTGAGCGGCGCAGCAGCTACGAGTTCCCGGTGCTGGCCACGGATCGCGGGGGCCTGAGCACCACCGCGATGATCAAGATGCAGCTGACGGACGTCAACGACAATCGGCCCGTGTTCTACCCGCGGGAGTACAACGTCTCGCTGAAGGAGTCGCCCCCGGCGCAGACGCCGGCCGCCAGCATTCCCGTGGTGGCGGTGGTGGCCACCGATCCCGATTCGGGGAGCTTCGGCCAGGTCTCGTACCGCATCGTGGCCGGCAACGAGGCGGGCATCTTCCGCATCGATCGCTCGTCGGGGGAGATCTTCGTGACGCGCCCGGACTCGCTCTCCGTCCGCACCCAGCCGACGCACATGCTCAACATCTCGGCCACCGACGGCGGCGGCCTGCGCACCGGCCACGACGCCGTCGTCTTCCTCAGCATCATCGATGCCCTGCAGCGGCCCCCGATCTTCGAGAAGGCCCGCTACAACTACTACGTCAAGGAGGACATTCCGCAGGGCACGGTCGTCGGCTCTGTGATAGCCACAAGCGGGGATACCGGTGAGTGCTGCCCCCCCCCTTTCTCTCGGTTCTTTGCATTCATTTGTTCAGTGAGCTGGAAACCAAAATATGCGCATATGACGGACCCGCAGACGGACGGACGGACAACGGACGGGGCAGGCACAAGAATTAAAATAAAATTTGTAAGGGCCCCAAAAAAGAGCGCCCCCTCCCCCCGAAGAGGGAAATACCCTAAAAGAAGACAGCGAGGGGGGCTCTAAGGGATCCATGGTCTTCCGACTGCTTGGCCTTGATATATCTTCAGAAAAACGTCTTTTTCGAGGCACATTTTGGGCAAATCTTCAATATATTCCATGAAATATTCGTCCGATTGGGTTCAAACTTCACAGAAACCTTTATAATTTCCATTATGGAAAGTTTCAAGGGTTTATCTGAAGAAAAAGCACCTTATATGGTATTAGTCCCGTTTCCAACCTAAAAACTCCCCCCAGAACCCAAAAAAGAGACCTCCAAAACCTTCTTTAATCAGCTAAACCCCTGCCAAGGAAGTGTATCCCAAAAAAGAAACTGCCACTCGCAGAAACTGGGCAACATGCAACCCAAGTGGAGGTCTTTTGGGGTCCCTGCCCCTGCCCCTCTCTGTGCAACAAAGCAAAATACTTCAAACGCAAATTTCGGCAGAAATCTGCACCCATCAACGGACTCGAACTCGTCATCGAGCCCCGAACCCAAAGGGGCCTCCATTGGGGCCGATCGCTGGCTATGCAAAATGATTTTGCGGTTTAATTTGCTGCCGCTTTCGCTGCGCTGTGTGCCCCTGCCCCAGCCTACCTGCCCCTGCCCCTGCCCCGGCCGCATGTGTCAATCTCTTTCCTGCTTCTATTGTTCCTGCAACTCATGGCGAGGCCTTTGTTCGGGGCCCATTGAATCGCTTTTAATGAGCAAAGACATTCCCTCTTCCACAGCCCATCGGAGCCCCGTGCGGTACTCGATCTACTCCGGCGACCCCGACGGATACTTCGGCATCGAGGGAGGGTCCGGCAACATACGGATCGCCCGGCCGCTGGACCACGAGGCCAAGGGCCAGGTGCTGCTGAACATCCAGGCCACCGCGGGGGAGCCGCCCGTCTACGGGCACACGCAGGTGAACATCGAGGTGGAGGACGTGAACGACAATGCGCCGGAGTTCGAGGCGAGCCTGGTGCGGATCTCCGTCCCGGAGAACGCCGACCTGGGCGCCCCCCTGTACGCGGCCCACGCCCACGACAAGGACTCCGGCAGCAGTGGCCAGGTGACCTACAGCCTGGCCCGCGAGCGGCAGCTCTTCGCCATCGACCCGCGCTCGGGGCACCTGGTGCTCTCGCAGCACCTCGACTACGAGACCTCGCAGCGCCACACGCTGGTGGTGACGGCCACCGACGGGGGCGTGCCGCCGCTGGCCACCAACCTGACCATCCTGGTGGACGTGCAGGACGTCAACGACAATCCGCCGGTGTTCGAGCGCGACGAGTACGCCGTGAACGTCTCCGAGTCGCGGCCCGTGAACTCGCAGGTAAGAGGGGGAAGTGGGGAACAAATGCTCGGCATAAATCTGATTAACAGCCACTAAAAGTCACGCTTTGGCCAGGCGGCCAGGCCGTCATATCTTGTTTAAAATATCTCTCGACACCCAGGAGAGGCGGGAGTGCTCCACGGTGGAGACCTGCTGGAGACTCCTGTCCTGGAACTAGTTTCTGATCATAAAATCACTTCATATCTCTGGCATCGCCGCTGAAACTCGTTCGCTTGGATGCCATTCCATGCCGCTCCAGAGAGCGAGTGATTGATGGTGCCCCTCCCCAAGAATCCACTAACTGGCTTTTGTCTTGCCCCTTGCAGATCGTTCAGGTGAATGCCACAGACCTGGACACTGGCAACAATGCTCGGATTACCTATCGCATTGTGGACGCCGGTGCGGACAATGCCACGGCCCCAGCCGCTGCCGGTGGCTCCTCCGATGTGGCCCTGCACTTTGGGATATTCCCGAACTCGGGCTGGATCTACCTGAGGGCCCCGTTGGATCGGGAGACGCGGGATCGCTACCAGCTCGTGATCCTCGCCACGGACAACGGTACACCGGCGGCTCATGCCCGTACGCGGGTGCTGGTGCGGGTCCTCGACGCCAACGACAACGATCCGCGCTTCCTGAGGCCCCAGTACGAGTTCCGGATCGAGGAGAACCTGCGACGCGGCTCCGTGGTGGGTGCGGTGGCGGCCAGGGATCTGGATCTCGGCGAGAACGCCGCCATACGCTACAGCCTGCTGCCGGCCAACAGCAGCTTCCAGGTGCATCCCGTCACAGGTGAGAGCCTCATCCTCTGGCCATAAATTACGGATCAGACGAACGACTCACTCAACGTTCGCTGTGCTCCTGCGACGGTGGCAACTGTCAAGCCACCAGCCATGACCCACGGTCATTCATTACTGCTCCTCATGCTCCCCATGCATGCCCCATGCCGCATGCCCCACTCTCTTGAATGTCGCTCTGGCGATCATAGATCAAACGCGCCTCGGTGGGGAAACCTGTTCTCGTAACGACGATGGGGCAAGCGATAAAATGCGATCTCTTTGCGATATGCTCGAGATGTGGCATGGCAGATGGGAGCCACAGATGGGAGCCCCAGATGGGGCATGCGGCCTTTACCGCATGACCATTAGTGTTTGAGCAACAACAGTTTTAACGCTGTCAGCTCATCCGTCAATGGAATATCATTGGGTTGACATCCCATCCCATGCCAAGCCACTGCGTGTCCGCTTGGGGATGTCTCCCCCTGCCCCTCCCCCTTTGGGGCACATGGAAATCTCTCGCGTGCAGCTAATCCTTGTTGCCTCTTCCAACTGGTTTACCGCCTGCGACCCAGTTAGAACTCACACATCTCCTCTTTCCTCTCTCCTCTGTCCACAGGCGAGATCTCGACGCGGGAGCCCCTGGACCGGGAGCTGCGGGCGCTGTACGATCTGGTGGTGGAGGCCCGCGACCAGGGCACACCCGTGCGCAGTGCCCGCGTGCCGGTGCGCGTCCACGTGAGCGACGTCAACGACAACGCGCCGGAGATCGCCGATCCCCAGGAGGACGTGGTGAGCGTGCGCGAGGAGCAGCCCCCCGGGACGGAGGTGGTGCGCATCCGGGCCACCGACCGCGACCACGGCCAGAACGCCTCCATCACCTACTCGATCGTCAAGGGCCGCGACTCGGACGGCCACGGCCTGTTCAGCATTGATCCCGCCACCGGCGTGATCCGCACTCGCGTGCTCCTCGACCACGAGGAGCGCAGCATCTACCGCCTGGGCGTGGCGGCCACCGACGGCGGCCAGCCGCCCAAAGAGACCCTCCGAATGCTGCGCGTCGAGGTGCTGGATCTCAACGACAATCGCCCGACGTTCACCAGCTCCAGCCTCGTCTTCAGGGTGAGTACCCCCAGATTTATGCCCAGTCTCTGCGGCCTCTTTTCCAGGAAAACTTTTGTCTATTCGAGGCTTCCAGTTTTACACGAAGCCTCCTTTGGGCTGGGGTTCCTGGTCGTGAGGTGCGCGTTTGTCGCCTGCCTTTGTGTCACCACCACCAGATGATTTGTGGCCGCTGCCGCAGTCGCTTCTGCAGTCTCTCACGTGACAATGGCCGAGAACACGACTCTTCTGGCGCGGAAGCAGATGTCAGAGACGTGGGAAGTGTCGCGATTTGCATTCAAGCAACAGGCAAGAGAAGGAGAGCCTCCTTCTGCTCCTCCTCCTCCTCCTCCACGCGTAATTGTCACTTGGGTCTGTGACAAGTCCTCGACCGGGCCGAGCCGTGCCTATTAAGTGCGATTCGAGATGCCACAGAGAGCGGATCCTCGCCTGCTTAGACTCCTCCTCCTCCTCCCCCTCCACCACCTCTGGGAAGGAGGCCCTTTAACATTTTTATCACGTTCGATTCGCACATGTTTTGCATACCCCGCGCCACATCACTCTCTCTCTCTCTCTGGAGCGTCGAGTCGAGTCCCCAGGCCCACTCCCAAGTCTCCCCCCTCCCCTCTCCCCACTCTCTGTGATGGCTGGGACGCTTTGACATGCATTTAATTGCCTCTCGAGAGCCGGTCCGGGTCGGGACCTCGTCTTCCCTTAAATCCGCTTCGGCCACAATTAAAATTGACACATTTCGTTGCGTCGTCGTTGTCGGCGCTGCCTTTGATTCCATTCCGTCCGCCTTTGTTCTTTGCGTTGGCGTTGCACCGCCGTGCCCCACCTGGAGAGGAAAAGATGTTGATGGAGATGCGAGCGATGTGGCGAGGTGCCCCGAGAGCCGGCAGATGCCAATTACTCAGCGACGGATTGCCACAAATAAATCCAATGTAATTAAGCAATTCCCCCCCCCCCCCCCCTTCTACCCCCCTGCTCCCCCGCCCAGAGATTGGGTTTCGGGGTTCCATGCGCCATTTTTGTGCATAATTCCGCCCCTCCCCCGCCCCCAGTAGTCGCTAGTTTTGGGTATCCTTTGGACCCAAAAAAAGAGAGCACCCTCCTGCCCTCCTGCTTTGAGGAGCAGGCAGCCAACTGCGTAATCTTGGCGGGGCATAAATCTCGTGACTGTCATTTTTGTGTCTCCATTTTGGCGACCCAACAAGCAACCAGCAACAACATACAGAATATTCGCAATGATTTTTTGGGTTTTTTATGAAAAAAGATACTACCACACACACACACGCACACACACGCAGAGAGAGGCCTTAAAAAACCAAAAGACATCAGAAGACAGAGAGAACCTTTTATGTTTTTCCTATACCCTTTTGAGGAATACCCTAAGAAAAGCAGGCAATGCCGATCCCAGGAGGCGTCTGAATCTCCTTTATTGTGTCTCGCGTCGTGCAACAGCTTTCCTCGGTTGGTTGAAGCTCTTCTTCTCCCTGGGAATCCCTGTGTAAGAAGCCTTGATTAAACGTCTTCTTTCCCTCCGATATATCCATCTTCATTCCGATTGAATTAGTCCCTCATGTGCTCAAAGATCTCCCGAAAATCCCACCTCTTTACGCCCTATAGCCTCATTGTCAATGCTGGGATCCCTTTTCTAAGGCATTCATTGCCTTCTAGACACATCCCCAAGCCTCTATAGAGCCGCAGCCACTCCCCCACCCAGATCCGTTTGCTTAGAGACAGAGAGTCCTGTTTCTCCTTCATTCCTCTCCAAAAAACCGCCACAAATGGCCTAAAGAGTGGCTTAAATGGACCTCAAAAGTGCTTCTGGCATGGTCCCTATATTTCAAACCTCTATTGCACATCCCTCTGTCCCTTGAGGCCCTGCCCCAGCCCTTTTCCAGGGTATCTGCCACTTCGTTCAAGTTCTGTTCCATTTCCTGTATTCTGTTCTTTTTTTTTGGGTAGACCTCTGAACGGTTTTTGCGGTTTTGCATATTAAATTCTTGTGCAGAGTTTCTTCTGCCCCCCTTGCCCCCTTGCCCCATGCCTCCTGCCACACATTTTTCTTCAGTGATTTTCGGGGCCGCCAAGTTCGGTCGGAATGCATAATTTCTTTTTAATGCCATTTGCCATGAACTGCGCTCCGGCTCTCTCTGTGTCTCTCTGTCTCTGTCTCTCCATCGCTGTCTCTGTCTCTGGCGAATGGAGAATGGGTATCCGTGGATTGGAATGGGGACCCAAGACTGGACTTTGGGGTTCTGCTCTGCTCTGCTCTGCTCTGCTGTGCTCTTTTTTCTGTTTCTTTGGCTGCTTCCTTTGCTGCCTGCTGCCTCTTCTGCTGCTGTGGCAGGCGGCGGGAGGGAGGAGGAAATTTTTAAATGTTTGCTGCCTTCGTAATCTTGAAGTATGAATTATTGCTTTAAGATTGGATTTTCAACACTGTTGTTGAGATTAAGATACGCGGACAACATTGCGTTCAAGAGTCTCGAGACCCCAGACCCCAGACTCCAGCCTCCAGAGGCCCCAAATGGAGCATCCTCTGCCGCTCTCCCCCTCCCCCTTCTTAATAAGCCACAAAAATAATCTATAATTGTCCCCCACTCCTTGCACAGGTACGGGAGGACGCCCATGTGGGGCATGTGGTGGGCTCCATCACGCCCAGCGAGCGGCTGCTGCTGCTGGACACCAACAACAGTCTGGAGGACACGGACACGGACTCGGAGGACGATCTGCGGGTCACGTACACCCTGAATCCGCTGAGCAAGGACCTCATCGAGGGCGCCTTCGACATCGACCGGCACACGGGGAGCCTCGTGGTGGCCCGCCTCCTGGACCGCGAAGTGCAGTCCGAGTTCCGGCTGGAGATACGCGCCCTGGACACGACGGCCAGCAACAATCCGCAGAGCAGCGCCGTCACCGTCAAGATCGAGGTGGCGGACGTCAACGACAACGCCCCCCACTGGCCCCGGGACCCCGTCGAGCTGCGGCTGAGCGAGGCCACGGCCGTGGGCGCCGTCGTGCACAACTTCACGGCCACCGACGCGGACACGGGCACCAACGGGGAGCTGCAGTACCGCCTGCTGCGGTACTTCCCGCTGCTGAACGAGACCCAGGAGCAGGCGACGCCCGTCTTCGCGGTGGACTCCCTCACGGGGTCCCTCAGCCTGCAGGCGCCGCTGGACTTCGAGGCCGTCCAGGAGTACACGCTCATCGTCCAGGCCCTCGACCAGTCCTCCAACGCCAGCGAGCGCCTCCAGACCTCCGTCACAGTGCGGCTGCGCGTCCTCGACGCCAACGACAATGCCCCGGAGTTCGTGTCGCCCCTCGCGAAGGGCGGCTCCGCCTCCGTCTTCCTCAGCGACGCCACGCGCATCGGCGAGACGGTGGCCCACGTTGTGGCCCTGGACCGCGATGCCGGCGACAACGGGCGCCTCGCCTACGACATCGAGGGGGGCAACGGCGAGGGACGCTTCCGCATCAGCGCAGCCACGGGCGTGATAGAGCTGGTCAAGTCCCTGCCGCCGGCCTCCGAGGACGCGGACAAGAACGGACGCTTCACCCTCCTGATCAGCGCCGTCGATCACGGGCTGCCGGAGCCCAGGAAGAGCACTCTCAGCCTCCAGCTGCTCGTCCAGGGGAGCCACAACAACCCGCCCCGCTTCCTGCAGGCCGTCTACCGCGCCACCATCCTGGAGAACGTCCCCAGCGGCAGCTTTGTGCTGCAGGTCACGGCAAAGTCCTTCCACGGCGGCGACAATGGTGAGGATCGCATCTCTGGTTCCTTGACCCCACCCCCCTTACCCCTGAATCTCCTTCTAGCAAATCTGAGCTACGAGATTCCCTCTGGCATCGCCGGAGACCTCTTCCACGTGGACTGGCAGAGGGGGATCGTGACCACGCGCGGGGCCTTCGATCGGGAGACCCAAGGCAGCTACATCCTGCCCGTCTACGTGCGGGACGCCAACCGCCTGGCCACCGCCTCCTCCTCGGCCGCCGCTGTGCGGAAGCAGAGGTCCTCGGAGAACGCCGCCGCGGACAGCAACAACGGACAGCACTTCGACGTGGCCACCGTCATCATAACCATCGGAGACGTCAACGACAACGCCCCCGAGTTCCGTCCGGGCTCGTGCTACGGTCTCTCGGTGCCCGAGAACAGCGAGGCGGGCGTCATCCACACGGTGGTGGCCAGCGACATGGACGAGGGCCCCAATGCGGACATCATCTACAGCATCACAGGTGAGACCTCGGCAGGCCCTCTCCCCGAGACCCGAGACCCAACCCCTGAACCCTCCCTCTTTTCAGGCGGCAATCTGGGCAACAAGTTCAGCATCGACGCCCGCTCGGGGGAGCTGAGCTGCCGCCCGCTCGACCGGGAGCAGCACGCCCGCTACACGCTCCAGGTGCAGGCCTCGGACCGCGGCCAGCCCACCAGTCGCCAGGGGCACTGCAACATCACCGTCCTCGTGGAGGACCAGAACGACAACGCGCCGCGCTTCGACCTGCCCAAGTACGTGGCCAGCGTGGCGGAGGACGCCCCCCTCGGGGCGAGCGTGGTGCGGATCAAGGCCACCGACGCGGACCTGGGCGTCAATGCGCGACTCGTCTACTCGCTGGCCAATGAGACGCAATGGCAGTTTGCCATCGACAGCAAGAGCGGCCTCATCACGACCGTCGGGTGAGTCTTGAGCCCTATGAGATCCCTCTGTATGTTTAGGAGAAAGGTTTTCCCTACTTAAATACGCCTAAAGGCAGGGGTTCTCCGAGGGTTAGGGTGCCACAAAGCAGTGGAGGAGTGGAGGAGCGGTGGCTCCTCTGAGTAGGAGTTGGTCTGGCAGAAGTCAATGTATCGTTTCGGATCTTATCTGAAACCTTGATCTCCTGCAAGGACGCGCACAGAACATTGCCATAATTTCCTCAACGGAACGCGAAATGGGGCTAAGGCTAATCCCTGGGCGCATCCTACGCGTCTGCGACTCGACGACAATGTTGCGGGGATCCGTCTCCTGTCATCCCCCCCCTCCAGCCCCCCACCCCCCGTCAGACAGCGAGCGACGCGCACGCATTCCTATAAATAGCCTCTGGATGGAGCCCTCGAGAACTGGACTTGGATGCGGATTCAGAGTCCCCTCGCCGCTCTCCTGCTCTCCTGCTACTTGGAGGCAGGCCCCCTCTGGTGCAGATTTATGCTTATTGACAATCAATGATGACAACAATTGCTTGTTCCGTCTGGACATGGCTCTTTTTGGTGCAGTTCCGGCCAGGGGCCAGAGTTCTGAGGGGAGGGGGGCACGGACTGGGCAGCGGGGGCACTTGAAATGACAGTAGCGTCAGTGTTGCCATTTATACAAACGCGATCCGCTGTCATGTACCAATTTTTATCTTTCGCTGATTGTCGGCAAACAATAAAAACGAAAACCCCGCCACCAAAATGCACAAAAAACCTAAAACAGCGAGACGGCGACAGAGGGGGAGGGAAAGAGGGACACTGGACTTAAGAACAGACAAAAAACACAACAACAGCAACAGCAGCAGCAGCAGAGGAGGATGGGGCAGTGGCAGTGGCATGAACAGAGAGCCTGCCTGCCTGCTGCCTGCCTGCCTGCCTGCCACATGGAGAGGTAATGGCACACAGAGCAGAATTGTAGAGCAGACAATCAGACAGACAGACAATTCGTGACGTTGTTGTTAGTCTTGGACTTGGATTTGCTATTGGACTTGGACTTTCGCGGTCGCGGACAAAGAGCAAAAAAAAAATACCCAAAGGAATGCTAGATGCGTGGCAGAGACTGTGAATACCCTAACGGTGGGGCTGGAAGCCTGTATTTTGGGAGGACTATATAGAAAGGCAGGTATTTCAGACCATAGCGGACATCCTTCAACGTTTATCCGCAAGTTTTGGGCTGTAGAAAGGCCATAAGAAGAGCTCCTTGGCTGGCAGCCACACAAGCCTCTAAATGCCACGATCAAGCCTTCCGGTGAACGCCAGGCTCTTTAAGAAGGGCTTCAAGTTCCAATCCACTCTCGAAAACCCATATACCCTCTCTGAGGCGTAAGGGTATGCCCAGTAAAAGACAAAAATGCGCCTGCCGACTGCCGCCTGCCGCTTGTCCGGTCCGGCGGTTGTTCCTCGTAGTTTCTTTCTTTCTTTCGTTTTTGTTGTTGTTGCTGTTGGCGGCCGCCTAGCCAGAGAGCTCTCTGACTGACGGACTGGCGATGGACAAGGCAGCAAGCAGGCAGGCAAGAGCCTAGGCCCAGTCGCCGGCCCAGTCGCAGGCCCATTCCTTGCTTGTTCGTAGCTCCCCGCCGTCTGTCCGCCGTCTGTCCGCCGTCTGTCCGCCGTCTGAGGAGGCAGACGACAACAACAGCGACTGATGACTGACCCTTGAAAGCATTTCTGCTGTTGTTTCAAAGCCACAAAAGCCAGTCGCAACGGGTAAGGGAAGGGCAACGGGGGACATGGACAAGGCACTTCTCTGGATCTCGGATCTGTGTAGCCTTTCCCTCACTTTGACTGATTCAATTCATAAAATGGAGCCCAGAGCCCAGAGCCCAGACCCTGGACTTGGCCACGGGATGAGCTTGTAATTTGCTAAATTCGTTTTATTGGCCAACATGCAACAGAGCCACAGAGCCAGAGAGCCAGCAGGGCGGCAGGGCGGCAGGGGGGGAGTTGTGGCTAAGGAATCCAAGGAGAGTAGAGGATTGTAATCATTTTGGTTTATTATTTGTGGCAGCAAACATGTTGTGCCCCATGCCTCAACAGGGGGGAGAGCGGGGGGTGGGGGCCTGCCGCATGATAGCGATAGGCAGAATGGGGGCTGTGGCTGTGGCTGCCACGGATTACTCCACCGAATGCTAATGCGAATTGAGTGTGCACCGTCTTCCACTCTGCCTCCACCAGCACTGCCCCAACAAATGACTTAATTACCAGTCAGTGTCCCCTCCCCTCCCCTCTTCTCCCTCCCCACCACTCTGCTGGATTCCTGGTGGATCAATTGCACATCCATTCGTGTGGTTAATTATGGCTAGGATTACGATTATATATAATATAAGAAAAGAGATCTAATTAGTGTCGCAGAGGCATCTGCCATCCCCCCCGTTCCCCCGTCCCCTCGATGCCCCCACTAATTGAATCATTCCCCATTACTCTTTCCACCGCAGAAAACTCGATCGCGAGCTTCAGTCGAGCTACAGCTTCATGGTTCTGGCCACCGATGGGGGACGCTACGAGGTCCGGTCCGCCCGAGTGGCCGTGCAGATCAATGTCCTGGATGTGAACGACAACCGGCCCGTGTTCGAGAGGTATCCGTACATCGGCCAGGTGCCGGCCCTCATCCAGCCCGGGCAGACGCTGCTCAAGGTGCAGGCGCACGACGCGGATCAGGGGCTCAACGGGGAGCTGCTCTACTCCCTGAAGGGAGACGCCGGCAAGTTCCGCATCAACCCCAACACGGGGGCGTTGAGTGCCACCCAGAGTCTGGCCAGCGAGTCGGGACGACTCCTCCAGCTGGAGGTGGTCGCCAGGGACAAGGGAAATCCCCCACAGAGCAGCGTCGGACTCATCGAGCTGCTGGTGGGCGAGGCGCCGCAGGGAGCCCCCGTGCTCCGCTTCCAGAACGAGACCTACAGAGTGAAGCTCCGCGAGAACTCGCCCGCGGGCCTGAGACTCCTCCAGGTGGTGGCCGTCCGCAGCGACGGACGCCGCCAGAAGGTGCAGTTCTCCTTTGGGGCAGGCAACGACGAGGGCATCTTCTCGCTGGACCCATCCTCTGGGGAGATCCGTGTGGCCAATCCCTCGCTCCTCGACTACGACCGGTTTGCCACGCCCACGCTGGCGGCCCTGAGTCGCGGTCGGGCAATGCACTACGAGGAGGTGACAGAGGATCCCTCCGTGGCCGAAGAGGATCGGAACGGCACGCGCAGCCAGCGCGCCTTGTCCTCCACGTCCTTTGCCCTCGCCAGCACGCAGCCGAATGAACTGCGCCTCGTGCTGGTGGCCCGCAGCTCGGACGGCCCCATCCTCTCCAGCTACGCGGAGCTCGTCGTCGAGCTGCAGGACGAGAACGACAACAGTCCGCAGTTCTCGCAGCGGCAGTTCGTGGCCACCGTCTCCGAGGGCAACAGCAAGGGCACCTTCGTCGCCCAGGTCCAGGCCTTCGACTCGGACGCCGGCGCCAACGCCCGTCTGCGGTACCACATCGTCGACGGAAACCACGACAACGCCTTCGTCATCGAACCCGCCTTCAGCGGCATCGTCAAGACGAACATCGTCCTCGATCGGGAGATCCGCGACGTCTACAACCTGAAGATCATCGCCACGGACGAGGGAGTGCCCCAAATGACGGGCACGTCCACCGTTCGGGTGCAGATCGTCGATGTCAACGACAACCAGCCAACATTCCCGCCCAACAATCTCGTGAGCGTCAGCGAAGGTAAGTGCAACACCCCCAGCAATCTATAGCTTTAAAAACTGGAAAAATACTGCAAAATGGAGACTTTAAATACCCTTGGAGACTTATCTACAAAGTTATAGAAATTATATTTCCCGAGGGTCCCAGGAATTTCTGGCAAATTTAATGGAAATTGTACGAAAGACAGAAATAAGAGAGAAATATTTAGAGAAACAGACAGATCTCACCGTCTTATACGAATGATGCAAACAGAAACAATGAGCCGGCATTTAACTATTTCTACGATAAAATTCCAAACAAAGTAGCCAACAAAATAAAAGAAAATATCATTCGAAATGGTTGATTCCAATATTTTACAACGAAATAGCAAAAATATAAAACTACAGAATCAATTACCTGTAGTCGAGAGTCGCTGCTACGCTGCAGGAATGTAGATTTCCAATAAGAGCACACATTTTAGGCATATTAATTTGAGGTGAGGCACTGGAGGGCGGAAGTTCGTGTGGAAACACCAAACAAGAGAGCGTCAGATCTGCACTTTTGGCAGTGCCTCACCCTTTCACGAACTTCACTTGGAACGAGAGCACTCTTTCCTTTTCGGTTCTCTTCTTCACTGCATCCCACTACTGCGTGGGAGTGGGAAAGGGATACAACTTGACGAATAGTCAAGCTGGAACTCACGTGATCCAACGAAAAAAAAGCGAGACAACGGAAAAAAAAACACATTTTAGATTTTTACACATGAAAAAAAGGATTAATGCCAAATAATATTTTACACAAACACGTAAATCACACATTGATGACCTTTCCTTTTCCTTCGACGAAATGCATTTTTATTGCCAATGCCTTTTTCTTAGCCTCTGCCCTTGATCAACAACTTTTTTGTTGCCCTAAAACACATTTTCTTGCACTGAAGTACTTTTTTCTGCGCACGCAGCTTCACTAGACACCTGTGCGACATTTTACCCGTTGGATTTTTCACCATTTTCAGCATTTTCACGGATTGAAAATCGGAGCTAACTCACGAACGCGCGCTTTGACCGGGTGATAAAATATGAGTGAGAGCGGCGCTGAGGCGTTCATTCTATGCTCTCCTGCTCCTCTTCCTATTTGCTCTCTCTCCCACGCACTATTCCGGTACTTTTGCGAAAACGAAAAACGAAACGAAAAAACGGACGACAACGAAATATTTTGGATTTTCCACATGAAAAAAAATAATTAATGCAAAAAAAAATGTTTAATTACATATATAAAATATATATCACAATTTGCTGTACTTTTCCTTTGTAGATTTGCATTTTTGCCGCCATTTTTCCTCCTTCTGCGCCCCCGCCCTTTGACAAACACTTTTCTTGCAGTAAAACACATTTATTTTGCACATTTATATCTTAACTTCATTTCACACACCTCCGCGACATTTTAACCGATGGGTTTTCACCATTTCCCGAATTTTCTCGAATTTAAGCGCGGAGCTGACTTACGAACGCGCGCTTTGGTCGGCGGTAAAACGAAAGTGAGAGCGCTGCAAATGCGCTCATTCTTTGATCTCCTGCTCCTCTTCCTAATTGCTCTCTCTCGCACTCAGCTACATTTGCCAAAACGAATCGAAAAAACAACACATTTTAGATTGTTGAACATGAAAAAAAATGAATTTATGCAAAAATAATATCTTTTTCTACATTATATGAAACATTGCAGATAAATAACACTTATTGCCGAACTTTTCCTTCGACGAGCTGCCGTTTTATTGCCATTTGCCTTTTTCTCCGCCCCCGCCATTGAGCAAACACATTTTCTTGCACTAAAACAAAATTTTTATATATAATCACTGAATCACCACACTTTAATTCACTTCGCACACCTGCGCGACATTTTACCCGTTGGATTTTTCACCATTTTCCGAGTTTTTCACGGACTTGAAAATCGGAGCTTACATACGCACGTACGCCTTGACCGGGTGAAAAAATTTAAGTGAGAGCGGCGCAAATGCCGTGTATTCTTTGATCCTCATTCTGCTACCAAGGGCGTAACCAGCGTTTCGCGAAGGGGGATCGAGGTTGTTACGCGTTTGATAATGATGTTACATTTTTTTTAGAAAAATCAAATCAATTAAGCAAAAACATTTGTTTTAAATGTGCAGTGAAAATTAAATACAAATTTTTTTGCTACTATTAAGCATGTTGAATCTCCCCTCCCCCCTTCACCAGGGTACGCCCTTTCCTGCTACTCTTCCTAATTGCCATCACTTCTCCCACTCCTGCTTCTCTCTCTCAACAAACAATCGCTCAGCAATGCTGAGTGTAACATAACATAGCGGACCACCTGGTATAATCTCATCTTGAGCAAAAGTCACTCAAAAGTCATCTTGTGGGAGTGGAAATGAGATGGATAGACTGGTGGGAGAGTGAGTTGCAGTGGGCGGTGTAGGTGCAGCGCATGAAATTACTTAATGTTATTAAATATATTGATCTCTATTTGTGAAATTACTTAATTTAATTAAATTAATTGATCTCGCTTTGCAGTAGCAGAGAATGAGAAGAGGAGTGGAGTTAAGCATAAGCAAAAATGCTCGAGAGAGCGTGGGAGGAAGAGCAAATAGAAAGAGGAGCAGGAGAGCATAGAATGAACGCCTTAGCGGCGCTCTCACTCAAATTTTTTCACCCGGTCAAAGCACGCGTTCGTAAGTTAGCTCCGATTTTCATTCCGTGAAAATGAGGAAAATGGTGAAAAATCCATTGGGTAAAATGTCGAGCAGGTGTGTAATGAAGTTTAGTGTACTGATGCATTGAAAATAACCAAAGGGGTTATTTTATTGCTCAAGGGCGGTGGCGCAGACAGCGGCAAAATGGCAAAAATGCAGCTCGAAGAAGGAAAAGTGCGGCAATGTGTGATAGATATGTAAAATGTTTGATATATATGTAAATAAACATATAATTTTTGCATAATTACTTTTCTTTCATGTGTAAACTTCTAAAATGTTTAATCTTTTCGTTTGTCTCGCTTTTTTCCTTTCGATCACGTGAGTTCCAGCAATGTGTGTGTGTGTGCGTGCTTGACTATTCGTCAAGCTTTGTCCCTTTCCTACTCCCACGTAGCAAAGGGATGCAGTGAAGAAGAGAACCAAAAAGGAAAGAGTGCTCGTGATATGGTGAGGCAAGAGTGAGAGAGAAAAAGGAAGGAATTCTCTTTTTCTTTCCTATTTATACCATTTTCTTTCTATTTATTATTAGAGCATATGCATTTGGGTTTTTATACGTGATATGTGCCTGGACACCTACATTTCTGCAGAGTTGGTCGCCCTCAAATTCTCGCTCAAGTCGGACATTATGTCAATGTTCTCCAGTAAAAGAGGGTTGAATAAGTTTCAAGGGTATTGAAAGACACCTCTCCATAAATATATGTATACTCATAATCCTCTTTTGCATTCCTCTCTTAACCATTTCCCATTCCTATATCTCTTCTCTTCCCTCCTTTAGCAACCGAACTCGGAGCCGTGATAGCTTCCATATCGGCCAACGATGTGGACACTTATCCCACGCTGACGTACCGCCTGGTCAGTGAATCCTCTGTGGACGACGAGAGCCTCACCCTGTTCGCCTTGGACCGCTACAGCGGGAAGCTGGTGCTGAAGCGGCGCCTGGACTACGAACTGCAGCAGGAGTACCAGCTGGAGGTGATTGCCTCCGATGCGGCCCACGAGGCAAGGACTACTCTGACTGTGCGCGTGAACGATGAGAACGACAATGCCCCGGTATTCCTGGCCCAGCAGCCGCCCGCCTACTTTGCCATCCTTCCCGCTGTGGCCGAGGTGGCCGACAGTCTCTCGATGGACTTGGAGCTCCTCTCAGTGAATGCCACGGATGCGGATGCCGAGGGAAGCAACTCAAAGATCCGGTACTCCATAGACCCTCCAGTCGAAGGCTTCTCCGTGGGTGCGTCCAGTGGTGTGGTTTCAGTCAACATGAGTCGTCTACAGATCCCCGAATCCGCGAGTGGGGACTACTTTGTGAGGATTCTGGCCAGAGATGGGGGAAAGCACTCGCTCTTCGGGGCCACGCTTCTCAGAGTGCAGGCCAGCGACAGCGGATCCGCCCGGTCACAGTTCCAGCAGACGCAGTATCGCGCCCAGATCAGCGAGGCGGCTCCTCTGGGATCGGTGGTGCTGCAGCTCTCGCAAGATGTGCAGGATCAACCGTTCGTCATTGCAGCCGGCAACGAGGAGGCCGCCTTTGAGCTGCTCCAATCCAAGGCCATTGTCCTGGTGAAGCCCCTCGATCGGGAGAGGAACGATCTGTACAAGCTGCGTCTTCTGATCAACAGAGGGGGATCTGGATCGGCATCCTCCCCCTCCAATTCGAGTGCAGGCATCACTGTAGTCATCACCGTCCTGGATGCCAATGACAACTTCCCGATCTTCGATCGCAGCGCCAAGTACGAGGCGGAGATCAGCGAGCTGGCTCCCTTGAGGTACTCCATTGCCCAGCTGGTCGCCTTGGATGCGGACCAGGAGAACTCTCCGAACTCGGAGGTGGTCTACGACATCACCTCTGGCAACGATGAGCACATGTTCACCATCGACCTCGTCTCGGGCGTGCTGTTCGTCAACAATCGCCTGGACTACGACAGTGGGGCCACCAGCTACGAGCTGATCATTCGCGCATGCGACAGCCACCATCCGCGCCCGCTCTGCAGCCTGCAGCCCTTCCACCTGGAGCTGCACGACGAGAACGACAATGAGCCAAAGTTCCCGCTCTCCGAGTACGTGCACTTCATCGCGGAGAACGAGCCGGTGGGCAGCAGCGTGTTTCAGGCGCATGCCAGCGACCTGGACAGAGGTCCCTTCGGGGCCCTCAACTACAGCCTTGCCCCCGCATCCGGGGACGACAGCTCCTGGAAGCTCTTCCGCGTGGACTCCCACTCGGGGATGGTGTCTTCGGCGGCTGTCTTCGACTTCGAGCAGCGGCAGCGCTACGACATGGAGCTGCGGGCCAGCGACATGGGTGGCAAGGGGGCACGCGTGGCCGTGCGCGTGGAGGTGGACTCGCGGGATGAGTTTGCTCCCCAGTTCTCTGAGAGAACCTACCGCTTCGTACTGCCGGCAGCTGCCGCTCTGCCGCAAGGCTTCGTCGTGGGGCAGGTCACAGCCACGGACGCAGACAGTGGACCCGATGGACGCGTGGTCTACCAATTGAGTGCCCCCCACACCCACTTCAAGGTCAATCGCAGCAGCGGAGCGGTGCTGATCAAACGGAAACTGAAGCTCGACGACGACAGCCTGGGGTCCCACGATGGGCGGGACATCAGCCTCGTGATCTCCGCATCCTCGGGCCGGCAGAACTCCCTCACAGCGATGGCCGTCGTGGAGATCGCCCTGGATCCTCTGGCACATCCCGGAACGAACCTCGCCAGCGCTGGCATCAACGGCGGCGGTGGAACCATGGGCGACTGGGCCATCGGTCTGCTGATCGCCTTCCTGCTGGTCCTCTGTGCCGCCGCTGGCATCTTCCTCTTCATCCACATGCGGAGCCGCAAGCCGCGGAATGTGGTCAAGCCACATCTCAGCACGGAGACGGTGGGCGTGGGCAATTCCAACAGCTACGTGGATCCCAGTGCCTTCGACACGATCCCCATTCGGGGTGGCATCTCGGGTGGAGCGGCAGGAGGCGCCTCCGGGCAGTTTGCGCCGCCGAAGTACGACGAGATCCCGCCCTTTGGTCCCCATGCTGGTAGCTCCGGGGCAGCCACCACTTCAGAGCTGTCCGGCTCCGAGCAGTCCGGCTCCAGTGGCCGGGGATCGGCCGAGGATGATGGCGAGGACGAGGAGATCCGCATGATCAACGAGGGACCGCTGCACCATCGCGGCGGAGGCGGTGCAGGGGGCAGCGACGATGGCCGCATCTCGGACATCTCCGTGCAGAACACACAGGAGTATCTGGCGCGTCTCGGCATCGTGGATCACGATCCCAGCGGCAGTGGGGGAGGGGGAGGCGCCTCCAGCATGGCCGGCAGCAGCCACCCCATCCCGATGCCCATGACCATGCCCATGACGATGCCAATGGTGGACTCGCTGCACATGTTCCACGACGAGGATGCCGCCACCGCCCGCTCCGACATCACGAATCTCATCTACGCGAAGCTCAACGACGTCGCCGGCGGCAATGGCGGTGGCTCCGAGCGAGGCAGCAGTGCGGACGATGCCGCAACGACAGCGGGCAGCATTGGGACCATCGGAACGGCCATCACGGGCCACGGCCATGGGGCGGCGATGATGGGCAGCTACGGAGAGGTGCCCGTGCCCGTGCCCGTCGTGGTGGGGGGCAGCAATGTGGGCGGATCTCTCAGCTCCATTGTCCACAGCGAGGAGGAGCTGACGGGGAGCTACAACTGGGACTATCTGCTCGACTGGGGGCCGCAGTACCAGCCCCTGGCACACGTCTTCTCGGAGATAGCGCGCCTCAAGGACGACACCATGTCGGAGCACAGCGGCCACAGCGGCAGTGGCGCCTCCTCGTCGGCCAAGAGCAAGCACTCCTCCTCCCACTCGTCCGCGGGGGCGGGCAGCGTGGTGCTGAAACCTCCGCCACCGCCCACCCACATTCCTCCGCCGCTGCTCACTAATGTCGCGCCGCGGGCCATCAACCTGCCGATGCGCCTGCCCCCGCACTTGAGCATGGCCGGGGGCCTGCCCCGCTCCCCCATCGGCCACGAGGCCAGTGGCAGCTTCAGCACCTCCTCCGCCATGTCGCCCTCGTTCTCGCCTTCGCTCTCACCGCTGGCCACCCGCTCGCCCTCCATCTCACCGCTGGGCGGCGGTCCGCCCACCCACCTGCCACATGTGTCGCTGCCGCGCCACGGCCATGCCCCCCCGCCACAGCCCACGCAGCGGGGTAATGTGGGTACAAGGATGTGATAGGACAGGAGAGGATTCCTGAGGAGCGCTGTACATGCATCATAGTATTACTTGCACCCCATACATACATACACCCTTGCCACACACACGAAAACACTCACACATACACGCACACACACACATTAATGCTGTATATATACTATATGATAGATAGGTATGATATCCCCTATGGCACATAGATGTAATTACACTCGGAAAACAGTTGTGCTGACTTTCAAGAAAGTCTCCCAAAGAGTGGGATTTTATGGTATTTTTGGTAGGATCTTAAAGAAGCAACTATTTCGAAAAAATACTACCGAATTACAACGAATAAAATACTGACATATTGAACGACTGAATTGTATAAGAAAAAGCCCAAAATAGAAGAGATAAGTCCGAATTATTTAGACCGTAGAAATACGTTCGGTATATTACATAAAACTTGGACAGAAAAAATACTGGAATTAAAAAAGCTTCTCAATATTTAAAAAAAAATACTCTCTGCCTGATTCGACAAGTTTTATATTTATATGCTTCAAAACTATAAACATTTTGTTTGAAAATCTCACAAGGAATATTATAAGTTCTATTATATATATTCCTCTGATGAAAAGCATTCAGATTCTAGCCAGTAAAAACATATTATTTTGATACTAAACTTTTAATTTAAGTCACTTTTAAACACTTTTAAACTTAGGGGACTTTCTGAAGCCAAGGGTACTTTCTAATCTTCAGTTGATATGTTTTTCCGAGTGTATTATCGTAATAGTTAACTTTAACGAGTAGTAAACGACAACCACAAAGCCAACAAAGACTCTCTGAGACTCATCTGCTTGCACACACGAGGACGACAGCGACAGGAGAGAGATGAAGCAGGTAGAACAGCCATAAGTTGTAAGCATTTAGAGCCTAGACATTAAGCTCCAAGCGGAAGACGAACCCCAATAGAACCCTTAAACCTAAACTAGTTTTACGGCCGCACAATCTCCCATACAACATTCGCGTTTTCCACTTCCCATTCGTAGGATATATATCGTATAACGAGGGTGATATAATGTTGAGGGGAAAATTGTATAAAGTTTTGTTTAGTAATTGTTTGAGAGAGGGAGAACGACGACCCTTGTATAAACACAAGCAAATAAACGAGGAAACGAAGGTATAGCCTAAAGCTTGCTTAAGATAGTTATTATGTGTAGTACGTATGTGTATAGATCGTATATTATATAGTTCTTCACTTGTGCGTGATGCTAATTGTGTAATCTTAATGCTGTAAAAATGTTTTCGATAGTTAGGATCTGCCAAGAACTGTGCGATCCATAAGAACCATAGTTTGTAATAGCGAAACGAAATCAAGAGAATAAATATTTAAAGGAAAAATAAAAAATAGCCCCAGAATTTGTGATTAATTGCCATTGGAAAGACCCCACATGGATCCACGACTGGGGATCGTTTTTTGGGAAAGCAAAAGTGCCAGACACGCCCACATACATATGTACGGCACCCAAGGAGTCGAGTGGAGGAGGGAGGCAGGCATCGAAGGGAAGCCCTTGGTCCCTCGTGTAGTAGGTGGCAAAGTTTTGGCTGAACTCTTGAACTGCCACAACACACATCGCACCCAGTGCCAATGCCAATGCCAGAGCCAGAGCCAGAGCCTGACTCCTGCCACAATCCGATAGGCGGTGGCCTCCTCCTTGTTGTTCTAGACACTCGGCAGACTCTGCCCCATGTCCCGTGTCCCGTGCCCCAGCAGCATCCTCTGCAACAATCCCAATGGCAATGGGAATGGCATAAACCCCAACATCCAACAACCGACATCCACTTTGTCTTCATTTCAAAGACGTTGCATGAACTCATTTATTTGTTGCTGATTTCTGGTCTGCACCACACCTCCACCGCCTGTTGCCTGGCTGCCCTTGCCACGGCTGCTGCCCCTTTGCCTGTCGTCATTATCATTATGTGCCTCTGCCACAGCTTCAGCTTCAGCTTCGTCTGTGCCACAGAGTCGGACGCGGACTCGGACTCGGACTCGGCCTCAGACTCGGAGTCCGCTGCGGCGGATCTCGAGAGTTGAGTTATTTCCATTTGCCAGTCGCGAGTCGCAAGTCGCGGGTTCGACTCTCGTATCAATTGCAACAGATCAACAAAGCGGAAAGGTAGAGGAAGAGGAACAGGCAGAGGAGAGGAGAGCTGCTGAAATTTGTTTTTCGCCTTTTTTGCATACCCTATGTGGCAGAAGGGTATATGGGTTGGTATCGGAGGGAGTCACTTTTTCAGGGAGATAAATAAATATCCATAACGAAGCCAAGTCTCGTGATGTTGAGGCACGTGCTCCGATTGGCTGGAAGCTTACAACTTTCCTAGGAAAAAAATAACCTAAAACTTGATTTATTCTTAAGGAATTGTAATAGATGGTATGGTTTGCCAATGAGTCAAGAATATCCCTCCAAAGAGGTTTAATCAGTCTTAAGATGCCTTACAGTTATTCTAGAATTTCTTTAAACTAACTTTTCAAGAGCCAATATAATAATTTTTCTTCTCATAAGAAGAATATACATACTTATATCATATATCATATACTCACTGCAACCCTTGGAATTGGTATTTTTTATTAACTTCTCTGATATTTACTTATTGAAGAATATGTATGAAGTTTTTCTAAAAGCAACACTGATCTTGAGGATCAAAATTCAATATTTTAAAGAAAGTAATATTGTATATGGTCCGCACTTTCCTTTAATTGGCTCTGAACAGAAAGGGAAAATAAATCAAATCTAATAAGTTCATTTTGTCAATCTATGATCCTAAGGATTAAATATTTTTAATTCTATAAAATTTAAGAGAATGTTGCGGACTTTTCAGTACTTTTAAAATTTACGTTAGGATCATTTTGTTGAAATTTCTAGGGCATTCCATTATTCGATCAGCCATTCTGGTGCCCTTTTAGTCTTTGCCTTTTTCGGTCACATCTCGGCAGGGACCGCCTCACAGATACAGACAGAGAGACAGACGCAGTACAGACTATATACACTGCAGTGGACGCACTATCCTTGGACGAAGGAAGGAAGGAAGGACGGAAGGAAGGAGGGAGGGCATCTACGAGTAAACGCTCGTGGTTATTATTAGTAGCAGTCAATTCACATTACAGCGAATACAAATAACAACGAAGAAGCCACCTGGATGTCGATGTGGATGTGGCTATAGATGTGGCATGATTGTGGCCAAAGAACAGACTGTTGCACTGTTGCACTGTTGCACTGTGGCACCAACGAACGAGCCAGCGAGCGAGCGGACGATCATCATGATGATGATTATGATTATGGGTTGTTTGGCGCTGGGCTCCATCGATGATGTCCTAGGCATTCATTTGGGGGGCTACGCACATTTTTTGGGGTGTGTACACACGAGACAACAGGCCTCGAAGACGTCGAAGACGTCGAATACGTCGACGACGGAAAGTGAAAAGCCTTAATTTTGTGGAACGAGGGAAAGGACCGAAGGATAGTCCAGGGCATCGGTTTGGGTTTATTTTTAAAGCCATTTAAGTGGCCTCTGAGCCACAAGTAGGCGCACGTAGCGTCCCACCAGATCCCAGAGAGCATTGTTCTACACATTTTTCACATCTCCTGTCAAATGTGGGAGTGGGAGGGGGCGAGCCCTGCCCCCCTGTCAGGGCCACTTCTCTGATTGCAAAATAAGTGATTTGGGGAATGCGTGTTAAGGCTCAATTCAGTTGTAGATCTCCACAGAGCCATGGCCATGGCCTTATGTTTTTATAATTTGTCAATACATCAAGCGCACAATAAAGTGATTACTGCACAGAGATAGGGATGGCGATTGGGGATGTGCATCCAAATCCTTGGCGAAATTCAAAATGAAATTAAAGCTTCCCAGACCCAGATCCTCCCTGATGGAGGCGCGCTTCTGCGGCTTAATAACAATTCCATTAGCGGCTAATGTCTTCATTGCAAGTGTCAGATATGGGGGCGCATGTGGCAAGAGGTGAGGGGCATAGGGGCAGCCTGGCAGCAGGGCGGCAAGGCGGCGGGGCGGCAGCTTGATGCAGAATGAAATGACGCTAAACTGACTGGCGAAGGCACTGCCTCGATCTGCAAGGTCCGTCATCACCGGCAGACTGCGGCTGTGGAATTATGGCTCTGCCTCTTGCACTCCACTCGAGTCTGCCACTGCCACTGCCACTGCCACGTCTCTCTCTCGTGCCGCTGCTGCCACATCTTTCGCATGTCAGTTTAACACTTCTGAGATCCTTTGAAGTTCACTGCTCGACGACTGCGTTTTATTGTCCAAAGTTATTGCACTAATAAGCCTCGTTCTGTACGTTCTCAGCGAAAGATACATGCATTCCCGCATTCGCATTAGCATTTCGTGGGCCAAGTGGCCAACAAATGCGAAAATAATTGCTACCACGAAATATACCACGATTGCTGCAGCAGCGCGGGGCAAGAGCTAATTGCCACCAGGCTGCTTGATTGGGCCAGCCACAGACGGCAGAGGCCAAGAGGAACACAATCACAATAAACAGATTTTTATGAATGCAAAAAAAAGCACAGAAAAGCGAGACCTTGGGGGCACACCACAGTCCCCTGCCCCTTCGCCCTCCCCCTGCATTGACCATTTCCGTTTCCGTTAGAGAAGGATCCAATCCCGATCGCCTCTTTGAATGAAGAGATCTTCAGAGATCAAAGATCCACAGACGAGCCACAGATGAGTGGCTGCATCAAAGGTTCGCCTGCCGACTGCAGAAACCGACTGACTGCCGCCAAATGTAATTCGATACGTTTGTGGCGCCGCAGAAAGAGACAAGAAGAAGCAGAAGAACGCGGCCAAAGATGAGGCACAGCACAGCACACAGTCTGTGTGTGCCCCCCATCTTGTGTTTCTTGCAACAGAGAGAGAGAGAGAGAGACAGGGAGAGCAGAGGCACTGAAACTTTGGTGATGGAAGCGAAATGGAATGGAATCGAGGAATCCATTAGAGGACTGACAAGCGCAAACGCCGCATAATGGAACAAGGGGCTCAATCTCTGGCCTCGGCCATAATGGCAATAGAATCATCCATCCATCCGTCCATCCATCCGAGCCTCTATCCATGCCCCATACGCCAGCAATGTTGCAACAGAGGTAACCATTAAAATATAATAATAGTTGTTCTTCTTTCTAGCAAAAGGAGCTGCAGCTTCTGGTGGCCCCCCAAACAATTTGGACATGACACACACAGACACTCTCTCCCTGGATCTCTGGATCCCTGGATGCCTGAATCTTCCTCTCCTTCTTCGATGATAGAATCTCATAATGCGAAGCCGAGGGAGGCAGCAGGAGGCAGCAACGTCAAACGCCAAAACAAGAACAATCTATCCAAATGTCCATCTATTGAGCAGATAAAGCCGCATCCATCCGCATCTCTCGCTCTCTCTCTCCT